ATAATAATTTCAACTTTAACTATATATTTAATTTGATTCTATTATATTTATAATATTAAACTTTATAATAGAAAATTCTTTCTTTTCAATCTATAAACATATTCAATCTATAAACATATTATTTTGCATTTTGTAATTTTTATCAAGCACAGATATGATGAAAAATTACACGAAATTGTATGAAATTCACGAAAATAAACTTTTTCACATAGTGCATTCATGATCAAAGTAGAAGAAGCTTCTATATTCTCAAGTATCTTGCTGTATCACCCTCTTATTAGCAAACGAGAATAAGCTTTTTATAGACTCGGATTAGCTACTCCCTACAACCCTATTCTTAAACAATTTCTTTTTCAAAAGTCATTTTAGATATACTTTAAACCAAATATCTTTAAAAAATGTTGCAGAACAGAAACATAAATAACAACAACGATTAATACTTTAATAAATAATTTAATAAGTAAAAATAAAAAATTAAAAACAAAAAATATTTAAATATACATATTTACATAATATATTACACAAAGTATTTAACTAAAGTTTTTTTTGTAGAAAAGATAGAAATATAATTCTTAAAAAATTTTATCAAATACGTATTAAACAGTAAAATCTTACTACCAGTATAAAAGTCTCTGATAACAGGCATGATAGGCATATTTACACTGATAATGTTTAGAATAACATGTCTCAAGAATTACATATCATTCTTATAAAACATCCTTAAATCAATAAATTTAACAAACTTAATATTTTTGAATTTACAGTGACAGAAAAATTATGAAAAAATTATGAAAGATAGAAATTATGAAAGATCACAAAAATTTATTGTTTTCGTCATAATATTTTTTAAATTTTCGTTAATTTTAATAAATATAACATCTAACTAATAGGTAGATGAATAGCTGCACTTAATAACAATTCTTTACTTAATCATATCATTCCAACAAAACATCTTTACTAAATCAACAAATTTAATAAACTTAATATTTTTGAAGATTTTGCAATGACAGAAAAATTATGAAAAACAAGATCATAAAAAATTATTATATTCTTTATTAAAACTTTTTTTTATTTTTGTATTAATAGATCCAACATTTAACTAATAGATTTAACACCTACGCCTAATAACAATTATCTATTCAATACCAATTTGTATAACAAAAATGAATAAATGTGAATAAAATAAATCGACAAAATGTTCTTTTTATTTTTACAAATAAACCATGCATAGTAAGAAATACATTAAATAATTACTATATTCAAAATTTTAATTAATATCAAAAATTAAGCACGGCAGCTCCAGTCCGCAAACGTTGCAAATCTTTTCTGGAGCAGCCTGTATAACGCGGAAACTTAACGTAGGTCCGCGTCGCGTAAAGTACACATACGCACGATACGCAAACTGCCCCCGTAATCGTTACATAATTTTTATCGTGCGCCAGGCAAGTTGTGCACACAGGTGACTCGTCGATAAGCATCGCGCGTCCGGCGCACGTTTCCCGAATTCGCATGCAAGGGGGTGAAAAGCCCTCCTACCCCTCCGCAATGCGTTTCACCCTGCGCGGGGCATCCAGAGACGTCGGGGACATCGCGGACCACAAACGAATTCGTGCGGGGAACGCATTCGCGCGATTGTCACGAGTCGGGGGAGGAGAAAAAAAAAATGGAGCACGATCAGCGCGCGGAATAAGGGAAGGAGGATTAATTGAATGGAAAACATGGAATGCGGAAAACTTACCTTCTTGCCGTCGCGAAACTTGACGTTCCCCTCGATAATGCAACTGTTATCCACCATTGTGGAGGATTCGCTCCGTTGCCGCGCCGTTGCACCGTGACAGCTCTCTCATTACCGCGTTCGATCACACCGTACGATCGCGCTCTCGTGACGCGACACCATTTGCCTTCGGACCTCACGGTCGACGGTCGACCGGTCAGCCGTACCGCCGTACCGCCCCTCTTCTATCGCTCTACCGCGGCGCGGCCGGGAAAGATGGGAATCTCGTTGCGGCACCGTGCACCGAATCACGCGGCGAAATCCATACTGCCGAGAGGTAAGAGGGTCAGTCCCGTGCGCCTTCCATCTTGACAATGTATCGGCCCGCCGCGTCGTGCGCGTCGAGAAATGCCGAGGAACGCCTAATCATTGCGCAAAACAGGGGAGGCAAACTCCCATGTATTATTTTTGCACCACCGTTACTAACGCCATCTAGAAATTGATTATTGCATCGATGAAATACTATTAAGGGGATCTTAAAACGTCGTCTGTATTACCGATTCAGGATTTTACATATGATTTACGTGTCATTGACTAAGTTTACACTATTACGTCAATATCGCGCGCATCGCACACGTACAAATTTTTTAACTAATCTTTTATGTTAAATATCCAAGCTTAATTCTAAGAAAACAATTTTTTGTTCATATAATCCTTCAGTTAATCTAACTCAAGACAACTCACTTGTTTTATATGTATAAAGTATAAAGCTTATTTTACAATGTGCTCTTTTGTTTCCTGTTTCTTGTTTTTTATCTTTTGCTTTTTTTCTCTTTTACAACCATTTTATCAACAATTGTATTTTTTGCTATGTATTTCTTGTTTCTTTCGAAGTTTGTTAATTTTTATCTCGGGCGATATAAACAAAAAACCGGATAAGAAGCAAAAATGTAAAAAATAACAAAAGGCAAGAAACAGGAAATAAAAAGCACATTGTAGGACAGGCTTAAAACTTGTATATGAAACAAATATTGCGAGTCAGAAACCGATAATAAAGCTGTAATTTTCCAATTGTTTTTTGTTTTTGATATAAAATCGACCAGTCAGAATACTACCCAGCAAACGAGAATGGATTGAAATGAATTGAATGGATTCAGATTTTCAGAAATATTGATTCACAAATGTTAAAATGAATGTTTTTCAATCCTGAATGCATTTTTATGCATTTGTAGAAATTGTATGAAGCATATTTCTATGCCTTTCAATCTAAAAATAATATTAGCTTTTTCTGTGCATTGTGAATACTGTTTAATTCAAACTTTTGAAAATTTTAGGAAATGCAGTTTTTCAATCCAATTACATCCAATTGAATCCAATTAAATCCAAAAAAAATATTCGCTATTTAAAATACGCATTCGGATAGAAAAAATTTCAAATTTAATCCATTTTAATCCAATCGTTTGCTGGGTATTTAAACATGGAAATATTCTTTAATTACAATATTTTTATCTTATTTATATTTTAAAATAAAAGATTAAAAACTGTATTGTTGTTGTATTAATAAGAACAGATTTAATTTTTTTATGATTATTATATGTACTTGCGATTTGATTATCGAATTATTCATATAACTTGAGACAAGCTCGAGGCAACATGGCTGCTGCGAGTCTCAGCACCCTCGGCGGGCGTCACGCGAAGCAACAGAATTAGTAACTGTTAGTGACAAAGAGGTCGCGTGTCGCGTCTGTTGGTAACATTGCGCGTGGTCAAATCCATCCGTGTGATGACAGTTTCGAGTGTAGTGACAGCCGCGTATCACCGCGTATGCGCCCGTCAACCGTTATACCCGTCCGTTGTGCTCCGCGTTCGCTTAGCTCGAGTTCATCGGTTTCTCGGTCAGCCTGGTGGCATCGACGGCGCGCGGACGAGCATCGTCGGGGCAAACGGCGACACGAAGTTTCCGAGGTAAGCGATTTATGGAATTACTCAGTCGAACCAGATGGCTACGAAAAGCGGCCGTCCACCTGTGCGACCACCAGTTTGTTTGCTAATACGGCTACGAGGCCGCATATCCCTTTCCGGTTACATGTGTTAGTTGAACCGCGCGACTCGATTTATTATTATTATTATTATCATCATCATCGTCGTCTCTTTCTCTCTCATTATCGTTTTGTCGCCACTCGTTCGCCTTTGAGGGAACGGCGGCACTTTCACACAAGCATACTGTGTCCGTCAGCGTTCGAGGTTGCTGTCTGCATTAACTGAAGAGTCGCAAAGGTGGGCGGCAAAAGTGGGTGGAAATTCCAAGAGGGGAGAATTTCTCCTGTATTAATTTTTCTCAAAGTCAGCGGGGGGATAATTGAGAAAAATTGATCTTGTCGGGGAAGATGAAAGAAAAGTGTCTGTCCCACTGGAGGAATGAAGTCACCTTTGGCGATCGGTTGCTACCTGTCAGGTATTGGAAAAGATAAATATTTGTGGTTTTGTAATGTGCACCTGCGACAGAAAAAAAAAGCGAATCTCGTCGACGATAACAGAAGGCGAAGACAAGATTGTCTCGAAATCTTTTATTTATGTAATAAGAGATGAGAACTTATCAATTTATTTATTTTGTAATAATAAAATTAGTAATCAGTGATATTTGATAGAATAAATTATAAAAGAAACCAAGATCTATCAAAATCGTTTGATAAGAATGAAATAAAAGTTTTCTTTAAAAGTATGTAAGAAAAAACAATTTAACGCATATCTTACATCAATTTTGTTTCTATACAAACTTTAGAAAATGACAAAATATTTTCAAATAAAAATATGTATACTATAATTATTATAAATATTATTCACATTTTAAAAAATTATAATTTATATTAAAACGAGAATAAATCAATTAA